GTAAGCAGGGTGAGCCGACGTTATCCGATACGACAGAGAGAGAACAATAAAATGCTCAAAGATGCTCTCAAAAAGAGGAACCAACATTCCGAAATCCCTTCAAGATCGAAGGTCAGGGCGTTGTTGCAATGACTAGCATAAGAAATAGCAGGTGGGCTGGGCAGGAGGCTATGCAAATTCGGGTTGGCCGTCGGACTGAAGCGATTCACGAATGATTCCCTCGGGACATTACGTTTCGCGAACACCTAGAATGCCGAAATTTTTCTTCAAGAAAGCTGCATACATGATGAATAGCCTCAATGTTTAGGTGGTGAATTGGGTGACTTCCAAAAGTATGGAGATTCAGCCAAGTCTGAAGACCTGGAAATCCGTGGGTAAGTGATTTTTGGGTGCCAAAGTTACAATCAAAATGAGCTAACAGTTAGTATAATATATACCTACTAATAACATGAACGATAAAGTGAAACGGTTCGAGAGCTTTATGCGTTCGCGTGATGAAGTGAATTCATAGCCGAGGAGAAAGCGCTGATAAAAATGCTTTCTGGTAGCGGAGGACGCTGATTACAAGACGTTATCATCGAAAATCACATGATATCAGTCTGTTGAAACTACTACAACAGAACTACGTCGAAGGAAAATGTTGAATATCGGACTTATAAGCTGATCGTACTATATGAGGGTTTTGCAGACGATGAAAAAAATCGGGCAAGGATTCTCCAATATATATGCAAACACTTTTTTTTGAAAGTGAGCGAGAGAACTTTCTTCGCTTATTAGACTGCAGGCAGAAAAGCACTGTTAGAATAGTATTCTATAGAAAGTTATACCCGGTATGAAGTTCCTTAATTGGTACCCACATCACCTTTGTGACTAGGAGCTAGCAAAACCCTGACATCAGCTGACTGGATGTATCTGTTGATGCATTCATCTGATGATATCAAGTCAACGAACCAAGCAAGCGATACGGCACGCTTGATGGAATATTTTCAATCAAAAGGCAATGACTATGACCGATTTAAAGTACAGAGGTAGACGTTTTCTAAAAACGATCATAAATCGACGTAGACCACATCCGATTGAAGTCAGTTTCCACGGTGATTGAATAAATCATTCTGTTTGATGGGTAGCCAGACCTATTCTTGGATGACAAATGGGAGGGCTTTTGAAGAAGGAAGAATAGGAATAACGACAGTTTTCAAAAAAATGAAAAATAAGTTCAAAGGAAAAATGGTAGTGACAGGGTGGGCAATGAAAAGATAGAGTCACATGCATGGTCTGGGAATGAAATCGGGCAGTTTAGGGAAACATAAACATTGACATGCAATTTTGATCGCCCGAATGTGAGTCATAGATAGGCTGAGTACCCAATTGAATGGTTATGTGACCATAAATGAAAATGGGAGGTATGGCGCAGTCTAAGAAGGATTGTATGAGCCAGAACGGCTCACGGAACTTTTTTTCGTGGGATCCCTTGTGAGAATCAATTTCAGTCCAAATAATTCTTTTGGTAGCAGCTTTGAATCAAGTAGCAGGAAGAACTGCTGACTTGGGAAGTGCGAGGTAAAAAGTCGAAGCTTTGATGTGAAATTGGAAGCGTTTCCGAGAAATATGCACAATCCTCGAAGTATCTCAAGCCAGCTCCACTTTGTTCCAGCAAACATTGGAAGTGAGCTCTACTCATTGATGAGAGCTAAAATTTCGGCAATCAAATGAAGGTATAATTATTTTTTTATCTGCCTGTACATTTTGGTCAGTGAAGGTGAAGGAAAAGCTGGCAAGGAAATGATTATGATTGGATGCGGTTATTCATCTGAGAAAGCTAATCTTTAATCTCATTCCCACAATAGGATATTCTCAAAATGCATTAACGACTCATTCACCATGAAAAGTCAGTCAGATGTGGAGGTGGAAAGCCACTTTACAGTTTCCTGGTTGCGTTTCATTCAGATATTGTAAACGCATTTGGATCTATCCTTAGCCAGCTGAGCCTGACTCCTTTCTGAATAGGTCCACCCGTTCGGTTTCTCGTTGTGGGGTTGGATGCGCATTTTACTATACTTTGAGTCGCAGGAATAAGGCGGTGTACAGTCCAGTACTTCTGTTCTCACAGACGAGTCCGGTACCGACCACTCGACCGGAAGATGGAATGCCTGGATGGATATCTCGGACGGGTGGAGAGTTGCTTGGTTTCAACTCGCTACCTCACTTTTCAAATATTCTCAAGCTCAGGTGAACGTGAGAAATTGGAAGTGAGTGTAAACCAGAAACTCAGGAAGTTCCTTCCTGGAGAAAACTGGAAAATTCAGTGTACTGTTCCAAAGTGTTTCTACAAAGACAAGGAGCGATGCAAAGTGAGAAGGCAAATTCTTTAGCCCATCCAATTCCTGGAGAAGAGACAGATGGAATAAGGAACTGACAATGTGGTTCTATGTGGCTCGTCAAGCTACATTGCCTCCTCTTCTACACTGTTGCCACGTATTCCGTGGCTTTGGTATAGCCGGGGCGCCGGTATTGGAGCAACGGATCCTCTAGTGACATTCTCCAAGGGTTCTCCATTGGTGCCCCTGGGATCGCGTGAAATAAAGGGGCTCCCCACCGAGCTTCCAACCGCCATTTTATANNTTGCTCTGCTATCACTATATTAGAGCCCTAACCCTGCACTTTTCTCAATGACCCTAAGTCAGCAGCGAACCTGCACTTTATTCTAGCTCGTGCAATTATCATTTCGCAAAATACAAACTTTTTTGAATTCGAGATAGAAAAAGGGTCAAATCTGTTGACTGATTTCAACTTATGAATAAATAAAACCTTAGCATATACCGAATACGAAGGTTTTGATTGAATTTGGCTATTCTAATAATGATGACATACATAAGAACAACATTTCGATGGAGGATAATAGATGCCGTATATGGAGAACAATCTTGAAAATGGTGCAGAAGTGATTCAGCCAACGTTGGTTTCGCAAATGGAAAAAATTTATTTTTCCTATGCATATGTTAAGATATGTTATGTCACTAAATGGTTTGTTGATTGAGAAAATAGGGGAGTCAATGCCATTGAACGTCATAAGCCATGGATGGCTTATGACGTTCAATGGCACTGGCTCCCTCAGATTATCAGCTTGTCTCCTAATTAGCAGCGTCGAGGGATCTCCCTGTTGTCTCTCGAAATAGCAGATAGAGATGATGTAGCTTCATAGTAATGAGCTAGTGAAAATTGCTTAGGTGGTTTTAGAAAAAAAAATGACGTGAAGTTGCCGTTGGGCAAAAAGCTCCAAAAAATGAAGCAGCTAGATAGGCAGGAACGCCTCCACAGGCTGCCCCGCCCACAACGGATCGGTAATCACTGTTTTTTTGCAACAACTAATCCATAAAATGTCGAGTCATGCACTCTCTCTTCTATCTCTCTATCTCGATAGCATAATCCAACTTCATCTGACTGCTTTGCATTTCGGACTGTTGGAAGGGCATATTGCGCATCGAAAATGTATTTATGATCTCAATATTTCATTATCAATCGATTTGGATCGATCGATATCGGAGAGAAAGCTCTTCTTTTGCTTCAAAGTATCAGAGGGATGAGCCGAGCTCTTTTTCATCAGAGAACAGTGATTATTCAATAACAATACATCATTTTAGAGAAAAATTACATTACAAAAAACTGAAGACTGCATACTATTGAATATCAGATAAGAAACCGGAAAGGAACTGAAATTTAAGAGCAGTCAACCTTTATAAAGGGGCAGATGAGACTAATGGACACAGACGGTTGTCAAAGGCAAATAAGTTTTGCGATCAGTTAGACTATGATAACATCGGATTGATTTTTTT